GTTTACCCACCCCTGGCTCCTTTTTGCCCGCCGGTTCCCCGACCCCTGTCAAGCCTAGTTTAAAGCTCTTTGGAGGAATTCAGCCATCCTGCGGGCGAACAGATACTTACCTGTGGGAGAGAGATGAAGATCATCATCTCCCAGGAAGCCTCCTCCCTGGAAGTGCTGGTCATGGCTGTATAATCCAAAGCTCTCCTGAAGACACCAACTCTGGAGCCGCTGATTGACTTCCTTGATGCGGGCACCCTGGCATCTCCAGCTGCTGCCAACCGGAAGGATGGAAGAAAATACAACCTGTGCTCCAGTCTTCTTGAGGCTGTCTCCCAGTTCATGGAAGTCTCATGATGTGGTCAGGGATGGTTCTAGCTGCATCGTTGGTTCCCAAATAGATGAGGACCATGGGGTAGTAGTCAGAGGGCTTAATGAGAGCAGGAATCGCCTCAGTGATGTCCCTGATCTTAGCTCCAGGCATGCAGGAGACTTCTCTCACCATAGGATCTGGTCGACAGATAGGCCTCTCCGTGCCTCTCAGGATCGAGTCACCCACCACAATCACTCGGCATTTCTTCTTCTGCCTGAGCAGTGATCCCCCAGCCTGCCCAGTAGGGGCTACAGGGATCACCACCTCTGCAGGAAAATGCTCCTCCTCTGTCTCCTCCACGGTTGTCAGGGCCCCGTATCTGTTCCCCACACGCAATGGGGAAGCAAACACTAGGCCCACCGCTTGGATCCAGAGGTGACTGTCCTCCACTCCCCTGCTGCAGACTCCTCGCGTGGAGTTTCACCTGTGGGAATCTAGAGCTGTAAGGAATGGAAATACCCGTCAATCACAGCCTCATCTGATCCCCCTTAGCCTGCTCACTGCCTCCTGGAGTTCCCTCACCTGCTCCTCCAAGCCCTGAAGGTGGGCACATGAGGGACAGGTGAGGGGGCTCCCCCCTCCCCCGATGGCAGGGTCACCGCCAGGCCACCCCTGCAGACAGGGGGCAGGGCTCCATCTGAGTGGACACCTCAGAGGAACCATGGGTGGGCAGTGCCATCTGAGCTGCAGCTGGCTCCCGTGCTCTTACCTTAGCTGCTCTTACTTAGCTGCTGAGCTTCGAGTCATCATTGCTCTTGCTAGGTGCTCCTTCTTGTCACTTACTCTTTGTTTCCTTTATTCTGTAACAGCAAGGTGATTTAAATCTTGATAGTATAGTGACCAAGAACTTATCCACTCCAATTACTGTAAATCCTGTTACTTAGAAAAATAATTTGATTTTTAGATGACACTTTCTCTCACTGAGACGAAACTTTCACCCATTTTTTATGACTTGTTTGTCCACGAACTCCTGTTATGCCAAATACAAAGTTTATCTAGCTTCTTTTCTTTCTCTCTCTCTCTCTCTCTCTCTTTCTCCACCTTTTTTAGAGTTTGGATACAGATAAGCTGGTGGAACCAGTAAAGAAATCGCCTCTTCGTCAGGAAACCAATCTTGCGAATTTCTCCTATCGTTTCTCCATGTACAATTTGAATGGTAAGTTAAACTATGTTAAGACTATATCAAATTTTTTGAAGACTGAATATTATTTTTACTAGTAAGTAAAGATCTTGCAAAATCCTAATGTAATAACATTAAAAGACAGCATCCATACAAAGAGAATTTTGATACTAAGACATCATATCCTGATTGGCTGTAAAGTAGGTTTGCTAGGGGATGGAGACTGAAGCCCTGAGCTAAGTGAGGAAGTGGGTGACCTGGGGGAAGCACAAGCAGGAGGGGGGAGGCCTTCTCATTCTTACTGAGAAAGTAGGGCAATTAGCTAGTAACCTCAGGTGCCTCTACACAAATGCATGGAACCTGGGAAACAAGTAAGCAGAATTGGAAGTCATTCCACAGTCACAGAATTATGATGCAATTGGAATAACAGAGACTTGGTAGGATAGATCATAGCATGGATGGATATAAGCTGTTCAGGAAGGACAGGCAGGGGAGAAGAAGAGGAAGAGTTGTACTTTATGTAAAAGAGCTGTATGATTGTTCAGAGCTCCAGTATGGAACTGGCGATAGGCCTGTTGAAGGTCTCTGAGTTAGGGTCAGAGGGGAGAACAACCAGGTTGATGTCTTGGTGGGTGTCTGCTGTAGAGCACCAGACCAAGAGGATGAGGTGGATGAGGCTTCTTCAAACAGCTAGCAGAAGTTTCCCAATCATAGGCCCAGGGTCTCATGGGGGACTTCAGTCACCCTGACATCTGCTGGGAGGGCAGTACAGCAGTGCCCAGGCAATCCAGGAAGTTTTTGGAGTGTTGGGGACAACTTCTTGATGAAAGTGTTGGAGAGGCCAACTAGGAGCCATGCTCTTCTTAACCTGCTGCTCGCAAACAGGGAAAAATATAGTATGGGGACTATAGTAGTGGACAGCAAGTTGGGCAGCAGTAACCATGAGATGACTGAGTTCACAATCCTGAGGAAAGGAAGGAAGGAGGGTACCAGAGTCAGGACCGTCAACTTCAGAAAAGCAGACTTGGACACATTCAGGGGACTGATGGTCAGAATTCCCTGAGAGGCCTTTCTGAGGGGGAGAGGAGTCCAGGAGTGCTGGTTGTACTTTAAAGAAATCTGACAGAGGGCGCAGGATCAAGCCATCCCAATGCATAGGAAGACTAGCAAGTATGGCAGAAGACCAACTTGCAGGGATCTCTTCAATGAGCTAAAACAGAAAAGGAGGCTTACAAGAAGTGGAAACTTGGACAGAATAAGTTAGGGAGGAATATAGGTGTACTCCTTGGTCATTCAGGGAGAAGTGGTGATGAGGAACAGTCAGCATGGATTCACCATGGACAAAGTCATACCTGATGAACCTGATTGCCTTCTGTGATGAGATGACTGGCTCTTGGATGTGGAGAGAGCAGTGGATGTGATATACCTTGACTTCAGCAAAGCTTTTGATATGGTCTCCCACAACATTCTTGCAAGCAAGTCAAGGAAGTACGGGTTGGATGAATGGACTGTAAGGTGGATAGAAAATGGGTTGGATCCTTGGGCTTAAAGGGTAGTAATCAATGGCTGCATGTCCAGTTGACAGCTGGTATCAAGTGGAGTGCCCCAGGGGTCAGGCCTGGGGCTGTTTTTGTTCAGTATCTTCATAAGTGACTTGGAAGATGGGATGGAGTGCGACCTCAGGAAGCTTGCAGATGACACCAAGCTGGGGGGGAGTAGTCAAAATATTGGAGGTTAGGACTGGGGTTCGGAGAGACCTTGACAATTTGGAGGATCAGACCAAAACAAATCTGATGAGGAAAAATCCTGCATTTAGGATGGAATGATCCTACACAATGGTCCAGACTGGGGACCGACTGGCTAACCAGCATCTCTGCAAAAAAGGACCAAGGTTAATGGCATGCTGGGCCGCATTTGCAGGAGCGTTGCCAGCAGATTGAGGGAAGTGATTATTTCTTTCTATTCAGCACTGGTGAAGCCACATGAAGAGTACCATGTCCACTTTGGCCTCCCAATTACAAAAGTGCAGTCCAGAAGACAAACTCGAGTGCAGCAGAGGGGAACGAAAATGGTTAAGAGGCTGGGGCACATGACATCTAAGGAGTGGCTGAGGAAACTAGGGTTATTTAGTTTTGAGAAGAGAAGAGGAGGGGGCGGGATTTAATAGGTTTCAGCTACCTGGAAGGTAATTCCAAAGAGGATGAAGCTAGACTGTTTACAGTGGTGACAGGTGACAGAACAAGGAGCCATGGTCTCAAGTTGCAGCAAGGGAAGTTTAGGTTAGATGTTAGGAAAAACTCTCTCTAGATGGGTAGTGAAGCACTGAACAGGTTACCCAGAGGGGTTGTAGAATCTCCATCCTTGGAGGTTTTTAAGACCTGGGTAGACAAAGCCTTGGTTGAGATGATCTAGTTGGGGATGGTCCTCCTCTGAGCAGGGCGTTGGACTAGATGCTCTCCTGAGGTTCCTTCCAACCCTAATTCTGTAATTTTGTATTGTATTATCCTGCTTGTGACACAGAGTTCTTAATGTCCTCAATTGACTCTGTCTCCACCTAATGGCTGATAATGAAAATTTGGTTACTTGTAGAGGACAGACATTCTGGTAACCTTTTTCATGAAAACGAATGGCTAAATTTATGCTTTAACCTACATTGTCAGAGACAGGGAACAACATCTTTTAAGGGTGAGGACATATAACATTTGAAACCATTCTGAAATGTTACTTATTGGGAACTGGTTCAAAGTTGTTGCTGATCACAGGTGTCCACATGTACATTTCCCTAGTATTGTAAGGAATTTAAAAAGGTGTCATCACCTTTTAGGCATTAATACCAGGGGTGGGAGTGAGGCCCCAGCCCAGCATGCCTTGCAGTGGGCAAGGTGCTGGGGGGAGAAGTTCTTGCACCTATAGTTTGGGGTTTCTAGGGGTGGATGGACCTGTAGCTGGAGGCATTTTCACTTTTCTGCTCTCCCTTCCCTTCATGAGTTCAGTAAACTTCAGTAGCCTGCAACTGACCCTAACTGGGCAGTGTGCTTGGATCCATGCTTTTGGGTTTCCAGGGGCTGGGGGGGGCATCATGAAGAGCCACAGTCGAGTTCAGAGTAAGGACACAGCTGGTTGTTAGAAAGATAACTTTTATTGAACAAGCAGTGCAAGGGACCTCATTGATTAAAAGTGTCAGCAAAAGGAAAAAAAAGAGGGGCAGTGGAGTTCTGGCTATGTATAAGAGTGGCCTGTGCATGTTGGGTTGGGGGAAGGTGGTAATGAGGAGCAATGTGGTGTGGGATACCTGGAAGAGTCATCAGATCCACGTTGCAGAATGCTTAATATTGGTGCACAGCACTGAATGGATACACTGTGAAACAGTTCAGAAGAGTACCTGATTTTCCAGGTATACTTTGAACTGTTCTAGGTGATTTTTAAATCGATTTAACGGGCTTCTGTTTGCTGGTTCAGGTTAAACCACATTTAAATGCGCCTAAATACTACAAATAGGGACGTATGGTTATTTAGGTTCAGC